TTCGTATCAATGTAATCTCTGCTATGAAATATGAAATTGAAAATATCATAGAAGAAGTAACGAGAAATCTTACCTTCGCAAAACGACGAACAGTCGAAATCTTTAAAAACGAAAGCGATCGCAGCAAACTCTTCTTTTGTGTTGACGATAAAATGACGACACACAACCTGCACTGCGCAGAATCAGAGCAGATTCACTAGTTTGGGAAAGTCCCGAAATGACGTAAAGGGATTTGGTTGGTCAAGAATCGATAATATCAGGTAGGCCTGGATAAATTATGCCGGCATAATTTCGAGCATAATAGGTCTTCAGGAGCATAATGAGCACTTTCGAGCATTGCGAGCATAATGCGGCATAATGCTATTAATTCCGGCATAATGTTAAAAAAATAATAGTTTCGTCTTTGGCCAGAAAAATTTGGAAAGAAATTTCTAATTTTGAAAAAAGAAATTAAAAGAAATTTCTAACTTTGTTTACTAATTATTAGTGCCCGGGGGGCCGGGCACTAGTAATTAGTAAACAAAGATGGCGGATCGAGATGAGAATAACGAAAACATGGTCATTGTCGACGACGACGGCGAGTTTGACGACGATGAAGATGGCGAAGAGGTTCAAGAGGGGCAAGGACAAGGAAATAATGAGTTGGTTGTCAATGCTTTGACTTTATTAAGAGCTCCCAGAAAGTCAGACCTGGCTCGTAAACGTAAAGTCAATGTTAATCCACGCAAACATCAAACTCGCATTGTACATGCTAAGACTTCAACTGCCCCAAATGTTTCTGTAGCTGTAAGAATCCAAGAATTTCCACAAGAATGCTTCAAGGATACTGCGATTGGCAAGGGAGCATTTTTTTGTGAAGCATGTCGCGAAGAAATATCAGTTAAGAGATCAACTATCATAAATCATATAAACACTCACAAACATCTGTCTGGAAAAGAGAAATTACACCAAAAGGCAAAACGTGAGAGAGATCTGGCAGAAGTTCTACGCGCATATGACGAAGAAAACCATCCGATAGGGGAAACATTGAGTATGAATACCAGAGTATTTCGTCTTAAAGTTGTAACAGCCTTCATGAAGGCTGGAATAGCCATTAATAAGATAAATTGCTTCAGAAGTATCTTAGAAGAGTCAGCTTATAAACTGACAGATCGAACAAACATGGCCCAGCTGATTCCCGTGGTACACCAGGAGGAGAAAAAAAAACACTCTTGAAGAACTGACAGGAAGAGAGATATCGATTGTGTTTGATGGTACCACCAGGCTAGGAGAAGCATTAGTTATTATTGTTAGATTCCTCGACAGTGAGTGGAAAATCCAACAGAGGCTTTTGCGATTTCTCTTGCTTGCTAAATCTTTAGCAGGAGAAGAAGTTGCAAGGGAGATCATCAGTGTTCTTGCCAGAGAGTATGGTGTTGCCACAGAGCTACCGGTTGCTACTATGCGTGATAGGGCCAGTGTTAACAATGTAGCAGTGAGAACTATTAAGGTGATTTTCCCCAATATTCTAGATATTGGTTGCTTTTCTCACACTCTTGATCATGTGGGAGAGAAGTTCGATACTCCTGTTCTCACCAAATTCATCAAGCACTGGGTCTCACTATTTGCACACTCACCACATGCCAAACTTCTGTGGAAAGATCGTACTGGAAAAAGTCTCACGACGTACTCACCAACAAGATGGTGGAGCCAATGGGAATGCATTAAACAGGACTTATTCCTTTTCTACCCCCATGTCACAGCCTTCCTGACTGCAAATAGGGATACTGGCACTGCTCCAGCCACAACAAGGAAGCTACTGGACATAATCGCAAACTCTGAAGCCAAGCTGAAGATAGAGATCGCAGCAACTGTTAATGCAGGTGAACCATTCGTGAAGAAGACATACAGCCTCGAAGGGGACGGTCCTTTGGTACTGGAAGCTTATGATGCTATCATCGAACTTGAAAACTGTGTGAGATTGATGCACATGCCAAATGTAACACAGATTTCCTCTGAATTAGCTGCCACAGATGGTCCAGATCAACGCGACCAAGAACAGTGGCAAGATTATGCTTGTCAGTGTGTCCAGCCAGGATTTAACTACTTTCTGGACACCTTTGCAAATGCAGATAATCTGTCACAGCCACTGTCTTGCTTCAAAGCAGCACGGTTAGTTGACCCTAGAAGGGTTAATGACTTGGTACCTACAGTTGCAGATGTCAAAGAGCTTGGAAACTTTCCATTCATAAGTAACACTGATCTGGATGGACTAGTTGCGGAGCTACCTGCATACCTGGCTGCGTCAACTGGGGTTCATAACGATGACATCCTTGCTTGGTGGAAAAGACATGAGGACGTTTTGCCCAGATGGTCAAGGGAAGCACGAAAGATTTTCCTCTGCCAGCCTTCGTCTGCTGCAGCAGAACGAGCCTTTTCTCTCCTGAAAGCATCCTTCAATGAACAGCAAGATTCAGCACTGGAAGATTATATTGAAACATCCCTGATGCTGCAATACAATGGACGCGGCCTTGGACGGTGATGATTGTGATGAATGATGATAAACTATTAGTATTATCTGATTATCTGATAGTATTAGTGATGGACTGATGGTCCTGAATCCTGATGGACTGATAGACTAATAGTCTTAGTAATATACATTACTACAGTCTACACTCTACAGTCTACAGCCTACAGCCACAGGACCTGTTACTCCTGTTAGACTAGTCTGTTAGGATTTAGGAATTAGGAACCTAGAAACATTGTTGTATTCATATTTCATACATTGTTACAGTTGGGAGTTAACAGTTACCACTTCTCATGTTTTCATGTTTGAGTATTTTTAACACGGGCCCGCCCCGGGGCCCGGGGGCCGGGAATCAGCGGATGTGCATGTTGGAATTGAATTTTCTTCGAGCATAATTCGAGCATAATAGGTTTTTTTGTGAGCATAATAGTTGATTTAACGAGCACTGCTTCTGGGCATGATAGCTGAATTTTCGAGCATAATTTATCCAGGCCTAATATCAGGATTTGCCCGATTTGGGGCATCTCACATTCTCACTCGATATAGAACCATGATAGAACTGCTTGTTGAAGAGTTTTTTGTAGATGAAATAATTTTTTGAATGTAAATTTTATACATATAGTAGACCTATTAATTAGGAGCAGTTGCAAAAAATGCAACTATAGTATACGTAGGCCCTCAGCAGAAATTGAACCTGCGGCCTTGCGATTCTGGTGCAGCGCTTCGACCAATTGAGCTACAAAGGCCACTAATGGACCGCGGAACCGGGGGACAATGGGGGCATGTGGGCTTTTTTAAAAAGTGAAGAAAGTGCCCTTTTTTCTGGGCCAAAGTGCCCCATTTAAAGAATGAAAAAAGTATTTCTTGAATGAACGCCCGCTTTAGCTGGAAAGAATGTGCTCTTTTTGCAGTAGTAACGACTCTGTAAAGGCCATTTCCGACATTATAGAGAGTCCATATTTTCAAAAATTTTCGTTCGGCTCATGAACGACATAAAATCGTTTGATTTTAAATAATAATAATAAACCAGACTGGTCTAAGTAATAATAAACCAGACTGGTCTGATAGTTTAGAGATTATTGCCCTCGAATTGGAATTGATAAACTCCAAGAAATGTCTTGTGTGTGTTTGTTACCGACCACCTAGTTGTAACTTAGTTGAATGGCTCCATTTGTTCACGGCATTTTTGGATGAAACCACCCACTACGACAAAGTTTTAATCTCTGGTGATTTTAACTTCCCCGATCTAACTTGGAACTCGAACTTTGTGCCTGTTATTTCAGAAAGAACTATTTCTGCTGGGTCTTCTGAATTCAGAGAACTAAGTTATGATTTTTTCTTACATCAAGTGAACATGTATCCGACCAGAGTTAACAACATTTTGGACCTTGTGCTAACAACCACGCCTGACAACATTGTTAATATGTCGTGTGTTTCAGCCAACACAATGGACCTCTCTAGTGACCACCACCTAATGTTCTTCGACTTTTTACTACATGTAAAATTAACAGGACTTGACAGGAGAACTGTGTTCAACTTTCACTTGGCTGACTGGAATGGGCTACAAAGAGCACTTGATCAGTATGATTTATCACCTAGTAAGTCCACTGATATCAACACTGATTGGGAGCAATGGAAAGATTTTTTCCTCAGTGTTGCTGCTGAGCATATCCCACTCAAAACATTTAAGCAGCGTAACACTCCTCTGTGGTTTGATGGTGAAGTGAGGCGTCTTCTCTCAAAAAAGGACTCGTGCAGGAGAAAAGCTAAACGTACGTCGTGTCCTAGACTCTGGGAAAAATTCCGCATACTTCGACGATCAGCTAAGTCTTTAGTTAGAGCCAAACGTACGCAGTACTTTCACTCTCTTCCATCATTGTTAAGGTCAAACAGCAAAAAGTTCTGGTCAGTGTTTAAATCCACTTTTAAACACTCGAACATTCCTGGAAAAATGACATGGACTCGACAGGACTCTTCTTCCACAACAGCTGAAACTCCAATCGACATAGCCAACCTGTTAAATCGTTATTTCTACTCTGTGTTTAATCCGTCATGCGATTCCACTCATGGCCTTCCCATTCCTGTCGACGATGATTCGATTAATCTGACAACCATCGCAGATCTTGAGTTAACTGAAGGACAAGTATGCTCTGTACTAAGAACTCTCGACGTTGACAAAGCAACTGGTCCTGACAAAATACCGGCGGTATTGCTAAAAAAGTGCGCAGCTAGCGTCAGTCCATCTTTATGTGAACTTTTCAACAAGAGTTTATCTTGTGGAAATCTGCCGCGGGAGTGGAAACTGTCCAATATTAGTCCAATTCCAAAGAAAAATCCTTCACATGAAGTCTCGAACTATAGACCAATATCACTTTTGTCTTTGGTCTCAAAGGTGTTTGAACGTTGTATCTACAACAGAATAATTGACCACCTCTCAAATCAACTTTATAGTCTACAATACGGTTTTCAAAGCGGCAAGTCTACAACATCACAAATGCTATATGTTCTTCACGAGATCCACAACATCTTAGAGAAAAGAGCTCAAGTTGACACTGTCTATCTTGATTTCGCGAAAGCTTTTGATAACGTCAGCCATGATCTCTTACTCGTGAAGCTTCACAACTTTGGCATCAGAGGAAATCTTCTTCGCTGGTTCGGGGACTATCTTTCTGGGCGATTACAGAGAGTTACTGTTCTTGGTGTAACATCTGAACCACTTCCAGTGCTATCTGGAGTTCCTCAGGGATCAATCCTTGGACCACTCCTTTTCCTTATTTATGTGAACGATCTTCCCAAGGCTACCTCATTCGATACTACCGTGACAATGTTCGCTGACGACACCAAATGCCACCGCCCTCTTCGAAATCTCCAAGACACCAAAATTCTGCAACAAGACCTGGATAAGATTACCAACTGGTGTCATGATTGGAGGATGGATTTAAATCAAACCAAGTGTGTAGTCATGCATTTTTCCCGAATTCTTCGACCGACGATCACACAGTACACTCTATCAGGTACTCCAGTCCAACAATCGTCCAGTCAAAAAGATCTTGGCATAATTACCACTAGCGATCTGAAATGGAACAAGCAGGTGCAAGAGATATCGACCAAAGCTAACAAAATGTTAGGTTTCGTCAAGCGAACAGCGTTCGATATTCGGCAGCGACAACTTCGTAAGGTTCTTTACTTGACTATGGTCCGTAGTCAGCTGGCTTATGGTAGTCAAGTGTGGGCACCCCAGACAGTCAACAACATCATGATCGTTGAACGTGTGCAGCGCCGTGCCACTAAATTTATTTTGTCATTGCCATACCAAACAGACATCTCGTACAAGGAACGATTGATCACCATCGGCATCATCCCTATATGTTACTGGCATGAGTATTTGGATCTGGTGTATCTGTACAAGTGCATCATTTCTAACTCTGACAGAAACATCTCCATCAAGACTCCTGCTCGAGAAACACGAAATACCAACGCAACCAATGGCATTTTACTCGAAGTAGCCAAGTACAAGACAGTGAGCTATCAAAACAGCTTCTACGTCAGAGTTGCCAATGTGTGGAACACACTCCCCTACTTGATCAGAGAAGCCAACAAAACTGTGGTCTTTTTTAAATTTTGTTTAATGAAACATTATAATAATCTCACTAAGGAAATTTACAATCCCGAAGATCCGAGAACATTTAAGTCTGTTTGTGTGAAGTGACACACAACTCGCCCATTGAGCAGCTTGTCCAATCGATCTTGTTGCTAAATTTATTCATGTCTGTCTGTTTGTCTGTAAGTCTGTTATTGTTTATACTTGTATTTTAAATGTTTTGGAATCCCGTTATTGGAGATCGAACTAATAATCTCTGTGTGGTAATTCCAGCCATGTAGCCTATTTTGTAATTAATTTTATGTAATATAGTGTATTGTGTTCAATGGCAAAATCTGTAAAATAAAATAAATAAATAAAATAAAATTTTGGTCATATACAAAAGTTCCCCTTTTGGCCAATGTCCCTCCACTTTCGGAATGCTTCCGCGGCCTCTGAGGCCACTTGTGGAGCTCTAACCGCAAATTCATGTATATATGCTAGCTTGTTTGAAAGGTTTTTGCGGATGGAATTTTCGAGTGTAAATTTTATAAATGCATCCGACTCTGCAGCTCACTTGGTTAGAGTGGTAAATCGGAATCGCAGGGCCACAGGTTCGATTCCTGTCAGAGGATCTATAGTTGCATTTTTCACAACTGCTCCCTGAATAGGTCTAACTGAAAAGGTCTAAATTTATACTAAATGCTGTGCTGAGTGGTTATATTACTACCTTTAAAAATAAGCAGAAACTCGACTTACTACATTGGTACTACCTACACTGGTACAGACAGTTTTACTAAATTTATACTCTATAAATAGAAATCAAAGTGTAAAATTTGTTAACTGCAACCTTATACTAATCTAAAATTTTAAATTGTTTAAAAGTTATTCGGTTCTGCTTTTGCAAATAAATAGTTTTTGGCGGGTTAATTTTTGAATCAACATTTCCAGTAAATTAAGGGGCAGTCTATTAGCAGCGTGATTAGGGTATTACTTATTCATGGAACGTGTAATTGCACACACCTCGCAAGCCAGTTGGCTCTATATTTCCGCTTCCTTTCCAAACCGGAGCCACAGATTAAGACCATCATGTTCTTAATAATCTATATACATCGACAGAATTTTAATAGACCGTCATTGTAAAGTGAAGAATATTTTTTAATTAAACGTAATGCTATGTAACGAAAGTTCAGGTATACACCGTACGAATAACACACTGAAATTCATTCTGATGCTCATGTGAGAACATAAGCACGGCAATATCCATCGGTCACTATCAATCACCGATATACTGATAATCATCAGCCATGACGCTGATTGCCTATTAGGGAGTGTGCATTATTTATGGTTTGGAAGGAGGGGACCGGCATGGCACACTTCTTCCCCTCTCAATATCTACATGAAAACTCGCATGACCCCTCAAGGAAAGACTCAAAATGACATTTGTGACACCACCACCACCACCATTTTATATAAAATACAGTACACGTGTATAAATATGGCATGTACTGTTATATCAGTTAAACAATTAAAAAGCTCCCGCAAACCTGTAGCCATTTAATAATTCAAAATTTTCATGTTCTATATAACTTTTTTTAAAGAGGTTAAACTACATTGCAAGAACTAAAATTTTCATGACCCCCCCCTCAATTACTCCTCAAACTCTTGTGAACCCCAAAACAAATACGAAACTCCCCGGCCCCCTATGATTTCACCGTCCGCCCCCGCTAAACCATAAATAACGCTCTTAAAGATGGAAATGATGAATTATGTACAGTAGTGCCTGTAAATGATAAGTGGTTACAAGAAATTACGAAAACAGAACATGACGAATGATTGTAGTATAGTATAAGAAAATGTTTATAGATGCCAATAATGGACAGCAAATCACATCCATGGTCTAATATGAAATGTCATCCTAACCAGGGGCGGCGGAACAGGGGGGGCTAGGGGGGCTAAAGCCCCCCCCCAGAGGTAAAAGTGGGGGGGCTTAGCCCCCCAGAAAATTTGAAATTTTTGGAAAAATTTTGATAATTAGGGAAAAATTTAGGTTATTTTTTGAAAATTTAGGTATAAGGGGACAAATTTGCAATATTTTGTTTAAAAAAAGTGTATTTCCGAAAAAAATTTTTGATATAAGTCCGAAAAAATTTTTTTCGTTCCTTTTTTTGTATATTGTAGACGGGGGGGGGGGTCGCCGAAAAAATTTAGCCCCCCCGGAACGAAATCTGTTCCGCCGCCGCTGATCCTAACCCTAATCCCTATGTCTATTTCATTCACACTCCTCGCGCCAGAAGAATCTCTGAGCTAGAATGTGTCGTACGTTCCAAAAGTTTTTTCACCATGTCCTACAGATACAGAGATCGTCGCGCGTCGATCGTGTTTCAGGTGTTTGGCCGCCCTCCCTTTCTTCGGCTACCCTTATCAGCTTTTACACGCGCCAACGTACAAAGCTTCAATTTCTTTGTCACGTTTGCCTAACTTGAACAATAGATTCTAAACGAAAAAGCGAAATGGCATGTTGGCAGAAATCTGGTTTCATGATTTTCCCCTCAAAATCAGCTCATATCCTTGAGGCCAAACGCGTCCACTAGTACTCCTCGTTAATAATAGTATATTAATTGTATTATTTTTAACATTTAAAAAAGAACATCTGAACATGCAATCTAAACCACCAACATTTGCAGTATTGAATTCTATACTCATAAGAGTTGTTTACCTGTGAATTCGATGGCCGAGAAGATTGATGAAGTTTGAATCTCCAACGACGTAAGTCATCAGACTCGGAAGTCGACTAGTGGCAAGTTTTGCCACAGGAGGCCCAGGCTCGATTTGCCCGCGCCCGCCTGTGCCTTCCTTATAACAGACGGTTTTAGATAACAAGACGCGGACGTCAAGAGGACGTGGAAATGACGTATGCACCTCGTGTTCACTTCCGGGTTTTAATCTGGGACGGCTTGTTTGTCTTTTTCGAAGCAAACTTTTGTTTTCTTGTTACCTGGCTGTTCATTCCTGAATTGTTTTCAATCAGTTGTCAAGATATGTGCAAGAAAAGGCTATATAATACTGGCCAAGTGTTTCCTGATGAATTAGTATGGACATTCAATAAGTTTTTTTCAGAAAAAAGTTATTTTTTGGTATTTTGAAAAGTGAACTTTGTTGCATCATTTGGAATAAATATAACAGCTGCAGGTATTGTTTACGAGCTAATTGTGCCTATTCAATCAAGTTTGTCGACTGTTCAGTATAAATATAGCATCAGTGTTTATATTGGTAAAATTTAATACTGTTTACGATAGTTTTTCACGCTGGAAAGCGTTTTTTTGCTTGTCCTACTTTTTGCACTGTTGACTGTTGTGACACAGCAACTAAAGTTGATTGAGTTTTTACTGCTTTTTAAGTGCTTTTATTTTTCTATTTTGCCACGTTTTCCTCATTTTAAACAGTTGTTAATATAACTTCAGTTTAGTTTGTTCTAAAATATTTGTTTTGGTGAAGATTACTAGCGGTATTGAAGTGGTTAAATATATTAACAATTGCTTGCAGTTTTGTTGATTCGTTTATGGCGACCGAAAGTATTTGTCGAAAATCAACTCGTCTAAAATTTAGCGAAATACAAGAAAAACAACCTTGTCAATGGAAAAACTTTAGCTATAGTATCATTAAACAATACATGAAAACAAAATAGGATGATTTTTATTATGCATAGTCTCATATTTTTTTCAAAAGAAGCAAAAATCTGTGACGTTCTAGAGAGGACGTGAAAATTGTATTTTCGCGTCGTGAAATCGTCCAAGACAAAGATTAAGTATATAAAGATGGCCGACTCGCGGAAAATCCTGTCCCCATTTTTTCACTGCGCATGCGTGAGAGTCTGGTAAGCGCCGAACTAAAATTTTGTATTGAAGTTAATGGAGAAATGTCGAATTTTCGCAATAAAACAGCGATTTTAAAAACACCTGCCGTCCGATCTTTATTTTGAGGACAAAATTTGAAAGAATATGTCAAGCTGCGTCTGTTGAACAGTGGATTATTACACGAATATGTTTAAAATGAACGAAAATTTGGATAAATGACCTCCGAAGGAGTGAGATCTTATGCTGTCAACAAGTCAGGTGAAATTCTTTTCGTTTTTCGATAGTGTTTTGTGAAATTTCGTACCTTAGACAACAGATGCATATAGGACTATTGCTAACTGACACTTAAAAACATGTTTGGGATGCGTATAACTAGAGTTTTTATATATATACAAAGACAATTTACTGCAGAGTTTGATCGTTCTATTTTACTCCACAGTCTGAAACTGAATCGTGCAGTAATTTTAAAGTATTTCTAATGTCTTGATGATTTTAGGTTATTATAATGTCAAGTGCTATTTGTATGCGTTGCTTGGATGTCTTGGATACTTTTTAATTTGGATAATTTATACTTTTGATAAAAAGAAAAAAAAATGTGCAAAAAAGTTTATATTTGACAATTGTGAAAATCAAGGTCAAAATCATTTATTATATTGTAATATGTTTTAAAAACTAATATATACATTGAAATTATCAAAAATATTAGGAATACAGGTATAAAACGAGATAAATTGGAATGAATTACGTTTTTGCCTTTGAAAAACTAAATTTGTGTATTTTAGTATTGATCATTCACTACTGTACACAACTTTTACTATGTTTTTAAACCAAACCATTATGCACATATCAACGGCCTGCCCTGGGGGTACACCCCGGGGAAACATGGGTGGTTGGGAGGTGTAGTTTGAGGACAAGATTAGACATGATTACATGTGGGCTACCCATAATCCTATGGGTAGCCTATTGTCGAATGGACGACTGATGTTTTTGCACAAGAAGCCATGTTAGTGTTCTATGTTTAAAGTTATTCATCATTCTACTTTAAATATTCCATGTTTGAAACTTTTACTAAATGTGTTATTCTAGAAGTGGCTTTGGCCTGTTTTGTTTGCCCCTATGTGTGGGGCTTTTTCTTTCATTAGTTTCTCAAAAAGTCTATTTATGCCCATGTTTCCCCTGGGGTGGAGGGGTGTGTGTTTCCGATGACAAGTGTACTAGGCACTGTTTCAAAGCTAATTTTACTGAGTGCAATAGTCCAAATAAGCAATAACT